ATTTAAATACTGATTCTTCAAATCAATGTTTCCTCTTTCCAATGACTTAAAATAGAGTAGAGCTTTCTCAGTAAGCAAGAGGGGAAGTCTCAAAGGAAATCAGTCAAGTACAAGGTCTCAACTGCACGTCCAAAAACTGGTAAGAAACAAAAATTTATGCAGCCCCAGTAGAGGTAGTTTTATCAGTGAAGAATTCTTTGCTCTCGAAGTGATAACCCCAGTTAGATCTCAGCATCACACATTGCTCCTTAGCAATGGAGGAGAGCGAGTGGCTTGCATCCATGACAAAATGCGAGACTCAGCTGATTGATGTGGTTTTGATGATGCCACAATTCTGCCCAAAACCCTTGTAACTAGCAAGTTTGCCCTGAAGATTATTGAATTACTCCACTGACCATGCATTATTTAAAGGGAAGTGCTGTTATTACAGAAGCCAGCTGTTTAACCATTGGAATTCTGTCTGTTGGCCAACTTTCAAGACACAGTATTGTGTTATGACTAAACATTATGTCTACTCCTAGACAGTCGAAGTCTAGGTTAGGTGGTGATCAACTTCTCTGATAAGCAGTCTTTGGTATGCATGCTATGAAAGTGCTGAAGCGCAACTACTGGCAAAATAAATACATAAGTATATGAATTTTGAATGTTAAGACTGTCAGTGAGAAAAATCTATGTGTTGTTATACATGCCTCTTCACTGTAACAACAGAGTGAGTATTTAGACACTTTATAATGCTGGTACAAGAAAACTCTGGGATTGTCTCTCAATGTAGAAGGAACAAGCTCAGTCATATCTCTCTTGTTGCATTGGGTAAGGACAATGAAAAATGTTTTGAGCATCTTGGAGAACCCAAATGATAAATAGAAAACAAATTTTCAACTTCAATATTCAACAATATTTGAACTTCTTTCTTGAAGACAATGTGAGTGGCTTCCAACCACAATGAATATTCAGCCTAAATGAGCTTTTTCTACCATCTTTTCTTGGAATCTTTAGAACAGAAAAGACCAGAGTACTTATCCACTATGCTCAACACAGCAGTGAGCTCCTAGGACCGGTGTTCATGTTGCCTTTATTTAACTGCTTTCTGCAATGGGGAGCTCACTGCTTTCAGGGATGTCTGTCTCATTGTTAACTCTTTTGAATTTAAATTGTTAAAAAATGTTTTTCTTGGGCTGGGGATGTGGCTCAAGCGGTAGCGCGCTCGCCTGGCATGCGTGCGGCCCGGGTTCGATCCTCAGCACCACATACAAACAAAGATGTTGTGTCCACCGAGAACTAAAAAAATAAATAAATATTAAAAAAAAATAAAAATAAAAAAAATGTTTTTCTTCTATTAAACCAAAATTTGTTTTCTATTTATAGAAATACCAATTCTGATTCTACGCACCACAGCAGAAGTATATAATATAGAGTTTTGTTCCATTTCATTTAAAAATTCATCAAAATGACTAGAGTAAGCTGTAATTTTGAGGTCATTAAAAGTACCTATTTTTCTCAAAAGTTATACTGGAGAAAATTATTTTATTGCTTTTCTAATAAATCACATTGAGTCAGGTTTCCTGTTTTAGTCCAGAGAAGTACATATCTTTATTGTGGTTCAGAAAAAGAAGGCATATGAGGATTTGAAGATAAAGGACAAATCTTTGACTCACAGTTATGGTCTCCCAATTGGTGAGAAATGATGATTGTTTGTTAAACATCTTAATGTAGAACCAGAAATCAAGCCTATAGGGCACTTCAAAGGATAAATTAAACTTTAAAAGGCAATAGGTAAACACTTGTCATATTCATATATTCTGAATAGATCACAATGATTCCATTGTAGACATTATGAATAGACAAAGGAAAACATCTAAGACTCTGGTAGTGGAGATAAGTGGTAGTTATATTTTATGGGAAAATCCAAGTCTGTATAGTACTACTTCAACACCATTTTAAAAAACATATATGGACATAAAATCAACTTTCTTTATGGAACATTACAGAAAACTCCTAATATTCTCTATTCTAAAATGTATCAGTCTAAGGACTAAAAAACACAGCTACTTCATAAACTGAGTCATGTCAAACCTGAGCTCACCTAAGACAGACAACAAACCTGGTGTCAGGTATGTCTGCCATTTTTGGCTGTGGTGATTACTGTCTGTTTCCCAAGAAGAAAGAGACCTTTGACTGTTGACAGTTGCCAAGAAGGGATTATAGGACACAGAGTGGCTCTGCTATCCCAGGTGAGGGTTGGCAACTTCCTCCTGTAGTAGGTAAGGTTTTCAGAGCAAGGATTAAGTCAGGTGTGCATGAAAAGAGAATGCAGTGTAGGTCCTAGCATCCCAAAACTTATCCCTCTCCATTTTCAATGTGTAAGTCTGAGTTTTCAAATCAGTTTTTTTCTGAGTTGGCCACACATTTGGAAGTTTCTGGAACCATTCCTACAAACCCATCCCCAAATAACAAATTTCTATTTCATCATCAACAAATGAATCCCAATTAGGTCCTATTAAGAAATAGATTGTCTCAACACAGAACAATCATTACCTATAGTGGATGAGAGTGACAATTAGCACAAAAATGACCATGTCACCTTCTTTTTTTCCCTACCTCAAGAGAAAAACCTCTACTCTTGACTGGCTAGCCACTTAGCAAAAAGTATGTAGAAGTCCTTTGTGGATTACAAAGAACCATGTCAGCCAATTTGAGTCTTCTAATTTACTGTCCCAGGAAAAGATTATAAAAACAAAACAAACAAACAAACAAAAAAAACACAGAAAACATTGTTTACATTGCTCAGGGGATCAGCCGGTCTCGGCTTGCCAGGACCTGGCTGGCAAGTCAGAGCAGAGTCCACTTCTATACTAGCCTTTGCTCCGATGGCAAGTGAAGGCAAAGCCAAGGCTCCAATTGGGGCCAGCTGCCTGGTCCCTCCCAAAGCCCACAACCATGAGAAGCCCACAGCGTTTGCACTGGGACACAGCAGCAGATCCCGCCCAGAGAGACCACAAATGAACCCTCACTAAGAGACTACCTCCAGCTGCCCTAAGAATGACAATAAACCTGCCTTACGGGAGGAAGCAGCCACCAGGCTCGCATGCCAAGCATCAGGAAAACATTTGGGTTCTTAGAGGATGCCCTGAACAGTTGGCCCTTCTAGCAGAGAGGCAGCCAGACTAGTTTGGTAGCTGGCCATTACCGTGGGCCTGACATCCCCAAATGAGGAAGTTCAAGATATACATGAGCATCTAGACTTTCAAAACCCCATCCTTAAGTATAGTGTCATTATCATGCAAACATAAGACTTTTTTTTTTTTAATGTCAAGCTTTCCCAGATCGGGGATTAAGTTTGAATCTCTTTCATATTTGTAATTGTATTCTTGTAGATTGATGGTTTGCAAAGTGTCTTCCATGAAGCCCAGACCTCCATGGAGAAACCCAGGCACCTCACCTCCCATAGGAGACAAGGGAGATGAGAAAAGGCCAAAGTCCAGTCTCCCTACCCTCACCTGAGCCAGAGGAGCTTCACCTGGGTCTGTTTTGTGTTCTGGTGTATAGGCAAGATTTGATTTAACAAAAGATCTAATAGGACACAAATTTACAAATAATTTTTCCAGGTGCATGTTAAGTTCTGTGTGAGCTTGTTTTGCCCTCTCTTTTAATTCCAAAGCCAAAAGAAGTGTGCCCCAAACAAAATCAAACCAAGCCAAGACCTACTTGCCAAGTAAAGAGGGCTAATTGATTTGAGTGCTTCCTCTTAGCAATCAGAATCACATGGAAGATGGACTTTTAGTTTATTCTGTCTCGGTCTAGTAGATTTCTAAAAAAGAAATTATTATACTGATCCCTCAGGTGATGCTAGAAGGAGCCCTATCCCACTGCTACTATGGGTTCTAAGTTCCCAAGCTTCTGGGTGCAATCAATAGTAACACTGCTTCTTTATAGACCATATAAGACCCAGAAAGGGTGCGCAGAGGAAGCAAACCAATATTTATTTAGCATCTACTATGTGTCAGGTGCTGCATTAGGCACTACCCTTACATCCTTTCCTCTGATATTTTATTTAATCCTCTATTTTGACAAAGAAGATATTATTAACCTCATTATATAAATGGGGAAACTGAGGCCTAAAGAGCTTACGTGACTTGTCTAGAGTCACATGCCAGGTCTCCTGGGCTTGATGGAGCACCTGGGCTTTGCAGAAAGCACATAGGAGTTTGAATTTTTACTCTACCACTTAACTGCATGCATCCCCTTGAGCCAGTTGTTCCCAAATGAGTCTCAGTTTTCACACCAGTAAAATTAGGAGCCCTTTTCATACTTAAAACCTCGTTCATCTTCAATCTGATATAACAAAGGAAGCAGTTAAGGGAAAAAGCAAACCTTGGAGCTGTCCTGCGTATAAAAAAATATACAGATTTGTTAAAAACATGAGGGACACCCAGTTATCCCAGAACCATTTCTTGAAGAGTATCCTTGCTCAAATATGTGAGATAATGGATAACCCAAATATCCTGAGTTGATCATTACAAAGTATATTCATGTGCTGAAATATCACATTGGACCCCATAAACATGCACTAATATTATCTGTCAAAAGGACAAATAAATAAGTGAAAAATAGGTTAAGGAAACTTACTGCATGATTTTCTTTTAGATAGTATTTTTAGTGGCCTCCCAAATAAGCCAATATATTGAAAATGTTCAGATTAGACAAGATCCTTGACTATGAGTTGCTGAAAACATGGAAAGCAGTTCTCTAAAACTTCTCTCCAAGTTTTGTGGTGAATGAGTTCATGCTCACAAGTATAGGGTAGACCTCAGGAGACACAAGGAAACCAGGAGGATCCGTGGGGTCAGGAATTGCTGGGGAAGCTTCCAGAAGAAGGTGAGATATTAGAGGATGGGTATTGGCTCCAAGTGGAGAGAAGAGAGATAGCATAGAGAGTTGGAAGATGAAAAGTAAAACAGATTCCACACTAACCCCAGCCACTCTGCATGTGATTTGTACAGACAAGCCCACGGGGTACGGCTCCAGCAGTCGGAGGGCACCTCAGACAGGCATCGTGGATGAGTGTTGCTTCCGGAGCTGTGATCTAAGGAGACTAGAGATGTACTGCGCACCCCTCAAGCCTGCCAAGTCCGCCCGCTCCGTCCGTGCCCAGCGCCACACTGACATGCCCAAGACTCAGAAGGTAAGCCCACCTGGGTGGGATCCATTCACCCTCAAGTAATCTCTGTTTTCTGCATGTGGGTGGGCCAAACAGAAATTCTGCCTACAGCTTCCTGGTTAAAAGGGGGGGGAAAAAAAAAAAAACATTCCCACCAACAGGATGGATTCTATGTCCAATCCTCAGTCACTCAGCATTGCAAATTTCACCTTCCCCTGCTCTGGATGATCTGCTAACTGGAATATGGTGTAAAACACTGGCAAAAATATGGGCTTCGGAACCAGGCAGGGTAGCACACGCCTGTAATCCCAGTGGCTCTGGAGGCTGAGGCAGGAGGATCGCAGGTTCAAAGCTAGCCTCAGTAATGGCGAGGCGCTAAGCAAGTCCGTGAGACTCTGTCTCTAAATAAAATACAAAATAGGGCTGGGGATGTGGAGTGGTTGAGTGCCCTGAGTTCAATCCCTGGTACCAAAAAAAAAAAAAAAATGGGCTTTGGTACCAAACGAAACTGTCATAATTGTAATTATTAACTGAACTTGTTAATCCTGGAATTCTGCCATGGTACAAAAACCAAAAAATAAGAAATAAAACAACTCTGTACTGGGAACTATTTGAAATTGACATTCAGTGGGAAATACAAATTAGAGGGGAAATAATTACAAATATAAATTTCTGTTTGACTTGTGAGAACATCTAGAAATTTCTAATGATAAAAATTTGCAGGCATCTTTGTTTTCTAAGAGTTAAACTATAAACATTAGAGGTACCAGCTATGCCATCAGAAGTACATAAAATCACTCAACAGATTTTTGTTGAATGGGTGAGTGACAAATGAATATGAGGACTAAGTAAAGGTTTAGTCTGTAAGTAGAAATAATGAGAACTAAAAAGAAGATGAAAGAAGAGGAGAAAGTGAGGAAGATGAGTTAAAAAAAAAAGATAAAGTTCTATTTAGGACTCTTTGGGGACTCTGTTGGAAAAAAAAAATCCTACGTGTTGTTTTAACTTTTGAAGCCAAAAAACTACACTGTTTAGAAAGCACAGCTAGGAGACCATTCATCCTGACACCTTTGCTGCTTCCTGGTCTTAAGCCACATCTGAAGCGGAAGGAAGACCTTGGTGTCTTAGTGGAGATGTCCCCCAAGGAGCCATCTAATGTGATATATAGGGACTGTTGAAGACAGGATGCACACAGAACACAGAAGCCAACAGTGAGTCAGAGAGCAAGGGCCACAGAAGAAACTTCTAGATAAGTGAGGTGGGAAGGTGTGCTGGAAGGGGGGAAGGTATGTTCATTCTTTCTCTTCCCAGGTGACTCAGTGCCTCTTGATTTCTAGCCAGGGAGGAAATGGGTCTCAGAGATGAGTCCCAAAGTTCTGGAACGTTGGGTCTTGGGACCCAGTTGTAGACTCCTCTCCAGTGCCCATGCTGGCTTCCTGCTTTCTATGGAGCCTGGGCATTCTGGGCTGACTCAAAGACTTTGTCTTCAGGGTCACCCTAGGAACAGCCTATTCTCAATGCAATTATTTTTGTGATGTTTACAGTATCAGCTCCTGCCGCAGTCCGGCTGCAGCAAAATAACCAGGGGGGTGACGAATAACTTGTGTACGTTGATACAGCAGGAGTGGGAGCCGTTTATTGCAGGACAGGAGCAGTATTTATACATTCCACACAGCTTATCTAATTAGCATAAACTAGATACATCAGTCAACCAATCAGGAATCTCCACACTTAATGGCTCACTTTTGTTACTTCTCAAACCACTCCCTCTGGCATTTTGCCAGGCACCATCCAGACTTGTTTACGAACTCTAACATTCCCCTGGCAAAATGCCAGGTGTTATTTTGACTTATTTACAGACTCTGACAAGCTCCCATCTACCAACAAGAAAAAGAAGTCTCAGAGGCGAAGGAAAGGTGGGCCAAAGACACACCCAGGAGGGGAACAGAAGGAAGGGGCAGAAGCAAGTCAGCAAATCAGAGCAAAGAAGAGCAGAGGAGGGAGACGAGGTAGAAACTGATCAAACAAGGAAAATGGAGGAGAGAAGGACTAAGCAGACAGAGGCCAGGATAAGAGAGGAAATGCTGTAGAGGACATGAAGACCAGTGGCCCTGGCAGCGCTAGATAATGCTCATGATGGAAGGAGAATAACCTGTTAAATGGGAAAGAAAAATGGAAAGCCAAGAAAGGACAAGGAAAGTGGCAAGAATGGACTAAAAAAAAAAGAACAAAAATTATAAGAGGCAAACAAGATGCTCCCTTTTCCTTTCCCCTCCAAAATTTAAATGACTAAAAAAAATCAGATAAAAAAGGCTTTTATATGTATTTTTATTTTAAATTTTCTACTAATCTATAATAGAAGAATTGCCCATGTCAATATATGTTCAGAGTTAAATATTAGCCCCAAATTCTCAGCAAGACTGAATTGTGTCACAGAAGTTCCCAGATTTCTTTTCCTGCAATATTATTGGAGGCCATGTTTCTTGGTCAGGTCCGGGGGTCAGACCAAAGGGCACCCAGTATTTACCTAAAGGCTTATGAGGTAACCTTTGAGAGGTCGCTGAACTTTTTTTTTTTTTAAACTTTGGAATCTGATTTTTAAAATGTATCAGTTGGCTAAGGCTGCCATAACAAAGTGCCACAGGCTGAGTGGCTAAAAATGACAGAAATTTTTGGTCTCACAGTTTCAGAGACTGGAAGTTCAAACTTCAGGTATCAGGTTTTTCAGGGGCTCTCAGGAAGGTTCTGCATCAGGCCCCTGCCTTGACTTGTAGATGGTCTCCTTCCTGAGTCTTTCTCATCTTCCCTAGGTACATATGTCTGTGTCCAAGTGCTTCCTTGTATAAGGATGATAGTCAGATTGGATTAGGACCCACCTTAATGACCTCATTTTAACTTAATAACTTGTGTAAAGATCCTATCTCCAAATAAGGTAACATTTCTGAGGTTCTGGGAATTGAGACTTCAACATATAAATTTCAGGGAAGGGAACATAATTCAACCCATGATGAAAACTTCTGATGTCCAATTACTACCTTCTAATTATCTTTCCTAGAACCACCCTTGCATACACACTCTCTTTACCTTATAGCGAACTCCTTTACACACACATATCTAGATTTGATTTGGATTTTTAGATTAAAATTCCATGAATTTCTGCTCCATGAAAAACACTAGGATACATAACACACTCATATGTTATGTTAGAGATGGAAGAAGCTACAGAAATTGTTTTGTTCAATCCCTTCATTTTAAATACAAGGACAGTGAGATTTAGAAATGGGTACAGACATACTTGGATTCTAAGCTTTTCTTTCTTCTGGCCAGCCGACAAAAATACATAATCAATGAATCAACTGAGAAAAAATTCCAAGAGGAAAAGGAAAACAGAAATGAATACATGAAGTCTCCCACTAATTTAATATTTTTCATCCAGAAGGAAATAGTAAATAATAGAAAAGATGCTGGATTTCCCCGAGGGTGAAGAAAAACTAAGCAGATTCATAGAATTTAAGTCTTAGAGATCTTCTTCTTCACTTTTCCTGATTTAATCAATAGGAATAAAGTCTTCCTAGAGGATAAAGCAAAAAGTATCAAGATCAACCAAATTGTGAATTATAGGCATTCAGAGAGGGTACAAAAGAGAAGTACTTAGCCAAGCAAATGATGAAGTCGGGGGTAAGAAGATGATTGAAAACCACACGTGACCTAGTCCATCCTAGACTAAGTAGCCTAGTTTAAAGAAGTCATGGTTCTTGGTGCCCCTGCTCTGCTTTCTACTCCAGATCCCCCTTCCTGAAAACCCAGCATCCATTCAGCATGGAGACTTCCAAGGCTCCATCCATAAGAAAAAGTTCCAATCAGAAGCTTCTCAAGTAACCATTAGTTCAGCAAAAGAATTCAAAGTGCATGTCTTGTGGAAAGGTTTGGGTAAACTATTACTACACATAATCATAAACTATATTCAAGAAGAATTTTATAAAGGCAAGAGAGCTGTCTAGTTAAAGTTCCCATAGTCTTAGAGTATGCGTTAAAATAAACTTTCTTTTGGAAAGGGTTTTATCAACCCTAACCAATCCTTTGGAATTACCAAATAATGATTGCCATGTAATAGGTACTATCAATACCAAAGAGCCCACTGGATGGATGGATGGATGGATGGACGGACGGACAAATGAGTGATACAGATGACTGTATCATGGTGGAAAGACAGACCATAAAAATAAGTTCACTGCTGAGATGAGATGATTTCTATGTAGGATAGTATTAACTAATATTATTATCCTTCTGAAAATTAGAGCCATATGTAAAAAGTTAGTCTCTTGAAGTAGAAACAATTTTCATATCACCAAAAACTTTAAGCCCAAGCTTGCCAACACTTTTTGGTGATGTGGTAGTGAAATCTCAAGCATGTGACAGATGGAGAGAACCCGATGACCTAAGGCCCCTTCCAACTAGGAGAACCCCTGAAACTATGAAGAATTTCAATTGAAATGGTAGCTTGGCTCTCCTACATGAAGAACCATTAACATTTATTTCAGGACCACATAATGAACTTTTCAGAAGCCACCATTTTTCTCAACCAGTTAAAATCAAGTGTAATATGTGTTTTCCTTTCGTGGTGCCTAGGGAAAACGTATTTGTAGCATGAACTCCAGCTCTTGCTAGTTTTAAGTGAAAGTGCCAAACTAAATAGAAAGGGGGGATATTTCCGGGCTCACACAGCTTCTGGGACACTTCAGTTTCTAGGACCGCCAATCCAGTGCCTTTCACAAGCATTTGATCTTCTTTCAAATGTCTCTTGAAAACAAAACCTCATACAGCTCCTCAAATGTTTTTGAATGTGGGTACTGTTAGGATGTAAGGATGGAACAGGAGGCAAATAAATGGCTTCCAAAGAATAACTCCCCACCTTCTCCAGCCTCTCCTGACCACCTCGCTGTCATCCACAGGGGAAGCAAGGCTTTCTGAGGTCATATATCTTATTACAGTTTCACAAGTCTGTTTGCATCTATGGGAGAAGA